TGGGTATGTGTTGTCGGACCGTCCCGGAGACACGACGGTGATCGAACACGATATCGAGCTAAGCGGTGAGGAGTCAATCAGTAGCAAGCCGTATCGTTGTTCCCCTGTGCAACGTCGAAAGTGTGAGCCGCTCTTGGTGCCGCATAGGTATCGTCGCCTAAAAGTGGCCAGTTACTGAAGTGGGGCATGTTGCTCCACAGCGCAACTTTGACGTTCGCTAAAGAAAAAAAAAAAGGAAAAGGTAAACGCTAATGCAGGTGCATTGAGCAGTGCGTTCCAGCTAGTAACTTCTCAACCCTTCGGTTTCTGGCTGGCGATTCGGGGCAAAATTTTGACCTCATCACGACCTGGGCTGAGCGCTCTCGTTCAGAGTGATCTCAAGTGGCCAACTTTGTGGTATTCTAATTCGTTACGTTGTTGTACGTGGGAAAAAAAATTGAGTTGTCATTTTAAGAGTCTTGTGTCCCACATGTGCCTCTTGATGTAGAGGGAACAAAATTCCAATAGACACGTAGATAGGTATATGTTGTACTATACTTTGTCTGGTGTTCTGTCGGGTGACCGAAGGCACTTGCGTGTGTCGTGTGTTGTCTGTTGTCGATCCGTTCTTGGCAAGTTGCAGAACCATCGACAAGTGCTGAAACCGAAGATGGTCAGAAGAGACGAGTGAAGCTGGTCAGCAAGTTGTGGCGACAAGCCAGTGGAGCTGGGATCCGTCGTCAAAAATGGGATGTGTTCCCGGAACAGTCTGGAGCTGTAGTCTCCCCATGGCCCTGGAGGCGAACCTGGAGGGACCTGGCGAACGAGCGCACCTGACATCCGAGCCCCGTGGAAGCAGCTCGTCTTTCCGGTGCATTGTCTGGCGGCGGGGTGCTGTTATGCCAGCGAGTCCTCGTCAAACGACCGTGCCTCTGAAAAAGGCAATCTGGGTCAAGGCCAGCCCGCAGTCTGCCTGGCGCGATCACCTCGACGGCGTGAACACGCGCGGCGCCTCTCTCGCCCACGTGCATTGAGTCAGCGGCGCACGTGACAGCGAGCCGGCGTTCTCGTGTCCGGTGGTCTGACGCATGGTGCGGCAACCCCATTGGAAGAATCTGCGCTGACGACCAGCGGCGCTTCTGATTGGACATTTTGGTTGGACCCGGTGTAAATAAAAGAAGCCCTGCGGCGCGTCGCGATCGGAGATCCTATGTGAGAGGCGTCCCCGTGTCGGAGTGCCGACATGTGTGTGAGTCAGCGGTTTTAGGCGAAAGGCTGACCTATGTGTTAGAGAGAGGAGCTCGGCTCTTCGAGTCTCTGCCGGCCCCAGTGCCGAAATTGTAACGCCTCTGTATATATGCTGTACATAAACCTTGTTTAACTCACCGTCGTCTCGTCCGCTCGTCTCCTCAGCTCTGCGCAGAAGCAGTCGCGAGCTGAGAAACATACGCTACCAAACGGCTGGTGACCTTCCCGGCGGGGTCGAAAGCAGTGGCGCCTCCGGGACCGCGTCGGCGTCGCCGTCTTTCGCAACAGTGGTGGCTTCGGCGGGATCGGTCCGCCGTTTCTCAACAGAGCCACGCATTCTTTTCCGTCCGTCGAGTCCCGTCGCTCGGGGCTCGTCGGACTTCGCTGACGGCGCCTCGCGCCCGATGCGAACGCTCACCTTTTGTTGCCCCGCTGCGTACTCACGGCCGAAGGGCAGTACGGTGTCCTAGTGCGTGGCCTAGCTACGCCGACCCGTCTCCCTTCGAAGCCAACGCGAGCGCCTTTGCCCTCGCTCGAGCAACCGGGCCCCTTTGTCCCGGTGTCTCCGTGGATCACCTTTACCGCGGAGACGTGCTCGTGGCACCCCTGTGTAGTACTTTGTGCCCGTGGCGTGGATAAGCCTACTTGCTTTCTCGCCGCGCCTTTTTGCAACGGGCTGTACTGCGTTTGGTGTTGCCACAATAAAGTGTTGCGACTTGAGCAGTATCGTGTTTCCCGCCACGGCGACGGTTAACGCGTGCCCTGCGGCTCGCTAGGACCGGACCCACGCTGGTGGCCGTACTCCTTCGGGATACGTGTACACCACACTGGCGCCCAACGTGGATCGTGTTTCCCGCCACGGCGACGGTTAACGCGTGCCCTGCGGCTCGCTAGGACCGGACCCACGCTGGTGGCCGTACTCCTGCGGGATACGTGTACACCACACTGACGGAAAAGAATGCGTGGCTCACCGTTTGAAGTTCCGGACTGTACTCACTGCTCCCGACGCAGCGCGCGAAAACCTCTCGGGAGGCTACCCGCGCGGCGCCACAGTCAACATCCGCTACCGGGTGAGGGAGTTAAACGTCACTCCGCCCTTCCCAGCGCGGCTGACGGCAAAGGAGGGCGGACATGTCGGGACATGAAAAAAAGAGGCGGCAAAGGCAGCGGGCCAGCCTCAATTCCCACAAGGTGCTTCACAAGTTTAGTTTAAAGGGATGCTAAACAAATGTATGCTAAAAAACACATTCTGACAGCGTGAAAATTCCACTCTGAATATGCAATTGTATTGAAAAGCAGAGTTAATTTCATATATTCTTGGCCGGTTGGCTGCCCCGCCACGGTGGTCTAGTGGCTAAGGTACTCGGCTGCTGACCCGCAGGTCGCGGGATCAAATCCCGGCTGTGGCGGCTGCATTTCCGATGGAGGCGGAAATGTTGTAGGCCCGTGTACTCAGATTTGGGTGCACGTGAAAGAACCCCAGGTGGTCAAAATTTCCGGAGCCCTCCACTACGGCGTCTCTCATAATCAAGTAGTGGTTTTGGGACGTTAAACCCCACAAATCAATCAATTGGCCGGTTGGTTGTATTCTTAGAATAATGTTAGCGCTCGGTGGCTCCTCACCAGCACGCGCGAAGCAACTCGAATTGACGGCCATGATGTCAAGCGTACCAGGGGCAGAAGCAGGTGCCTGCTTTCCTATTTAACTCATTCCTTTTTCCACCTCTTCTTTACGTCCCATTACCACCACTTTCACGAAGGTGGCAAACTGTACTTTATGGGTGAGCATTGTTTGCTGCTGGTACTGTTTTTACTGATTTTACCGATCATAGGGGCAAGTGAGTATGATTGAGAGACACGAGCGATGGCTTGCATGCTTTGCACACCCATTTCCTGTGGGTGAAACGTTACCCCTTCTAGCTCACGGCGCGACAGTTTCTGAAAAATGTTAGATTCTTTATAATCGATTGCCTAAAAACAAGGATGTGTCAACAAATTTCAGCACCCAAGCTTTCGAATAGGCTGGAAATCTCCTCGGAAGTTTTGTTAAATATTCATTTCAGGCACTGCATGTTGACGGTTTGCAACAAAATATTAACAGGTGCCAAGACACTTCCACGTGTGGAAAGCTAAAGGTGGCCTGCGAAGATGACTAAAACATGTGAACAAAATACACGTAGATATCATGAAGTCTCTAAAGTTGTCAATTTACTTAGTTTAATCGAAACCTTATTAAATTGGAATTCGACCTGTTGAGCGAAGCAACCAATGGGGGCAACATTTTTTTGCTCTACACGAAGTGCCCAATCGGAAAATGGTTGTATAATATACAGCAGCACAATAAAAGTAATTTCATAAATGTGAGCAACAAATGTCCCAGAACTATAGGTTGTGGGGGATGCTGTAGCTGGCATCATAGGCGGAGAGTACAAGGGGGGCTGGGGGGCTCGGGCCTCCTTTGGGCTGCATCTTGGGGGACAGAGCCTTCTCCCTAGAGCGAGCCCGGGATATATATTTTTTAAAGCTTGGTTATTTGATCCCCAACAGACTGTTAAACATCTCCTCTTGCAGCTATTTCACAGAAAACTGTCTATGCCGGCTCCTTTTCTTCTCAGGCTTCGAAAATGTGGATCATGGAGCAATGACAAGTAGGGAGTCTGACGCCGGGGTCGCATTGAGATCGAAATCACAGTATGACGAAAATTGGCTATTTGCGCGGCTTTTGTGCAAAATAAGTACTGGATGTACGCGTGCGCATCAGAAAAAAATTTTTTTTTTTTTGAAACATAAATGTGCAAGACCAAATCGGGCGCCCCACCCCCTTTGGGAAAATGAAAACTCTCGGCCTATGGCTAGTGTATTCTATGGCACATTTAAACTACTGCCCACCTGCTCCACAATACAGATGTTATCCTTTCCCACACTGTTCCCACCATCGTTGCCATAACCACCTTGCTCAACTGCATGATCGGCGCCGAAGGAATACAGCGTCGGCTGGTCGCGCGCGCAGACGGTAAGTCGATATGCTCGGCTTCTAGATTTGGCTGAAATAAATGTCTATACTTCTCGTACCGGAGCACGACGCAGCTTCATGCTCCCTTGCGAACTGCCGCAAAAAACGGCAGTTATATTTCAATTACCACTACTACCCTACTACCAACTACAACCAACGCTTGATCGATTGATTGATATGTGGGGTTTAACATCCCAAAACCACAATATGATAATGAGAGAAGCCGTCGTGGAGGACTCAGGAAATTTCGACTACCTGTGGTTCTTTAACGTGCACCTAAATATGAGCACGCGGGCCCACAGCATTTTTGCCTCCATCAAAAAAACTACAACAAACGCAATGTTCCAGTCATGGAATGAATGAATGAATAAACTATATTTGAACTCCGGCAGTTTTCACCAGACGAGGTGGGAGAAGAGGAGATTAACCCCTGTTCCTTCCCACTTTCCGTCGATTATGATGGCGGTGCTTCAGTTGACCGCTCGAAGTCCTTGGACCCGGGCGGCACCTTCCTCCGTCGTGGAGAAAAAAAATATCCTAAGCCATTCAGCGAACTTAAATTTCGCGCCGCAAAGCAGTGCTTTCTGACGGTTAAAGATTGCGTATCAACCGATGCGCTATTTTTTGCTGCTTTGTCACAAAATTTGTACATATCATGCAAAAAAAATGATAATATTCATTTCATTGGAGTCTTTTTGCATATGTAACGTCTTTTGTTTTTGCTAGAATGTGGTCACTCTAGTGCACGGAGGAAGTGCGAACATTCAGTTGGCTGCGCTCTACCAGCTCTCTGCAAAACAGCTGTTTTCTGGGTTTTCCGTGTTTTTCGCTTTGCTAAAGTGTACTCTGTGGTGTACTAGAGTTCTAGTACACTCTAGCTTTACATAGCTTGTATGCATGCCATGCCTCAACAGCGGCCGCTGGTGCCTCAGCTTCTCCATCGTTTCGGTGGTTGGCGGGAACCAGCAAACGGGCCGGAAAATCGCTTTCGGGAGTAATGTATTCACTGTCGAGAAGAACAGTGAGAAACCGGCACGAACTGCGAGCGTCGATCACGAAAGTTTGTGAAAGGATCGGTGGGCACCATGACTGACACTCTCTCGGTGTAGGCAGCACGGGCACGACAGCTGTCTACCGTCTGATAATCTTCAAGCTTAACCCGAAGCCTCGTGAAATATTTTCGTGGGTGTAAGAAGTGCAACAAGAGGGATGTGATTTTGAAAGAAGCTGTCGATATGCGACGCGATTTGGTGTCATTCTCAAACGCTATCTGCAGTGAGTGTGATTAACGTCTCTGTGACATGCTCTCGTCAACGTGCACTAAACAACCTGGCGCACTGCGGGCAACCCAGAAGCTATTCTCTGCAAAGAGAAGAGTTTGTTCCCAGAGGCTTTTGTGATTGTTCCCGGTGTGTTTTTTGATGTTGCCCTGAATGGGATGGATAAACGGCTTGTTGACAGCCTGGCAAGGTAGAATTTTTTTGTTTGTGAATTGGCTTCCTAGTAAGTATATTTTCCGAACGAGGACTTTCGTTCAAAGAATGCTGTTTCTAGCTCTTAAGTGCATTGATCCCTCCACATGTCGGCAAAGGCCAACACCGCAAAGGTTTCTCAAATATTACTCTGAGAAAGTCGTGCGTCGTTGTAAGACGTGTGGTATTCTGAGGGAAAGTGGGGAATGAATGACAGAAAATGCAGGGAATTCTTAAATGATAACAACCAAAAGCGCGTTCTGCAGTTCGGTAGCCAAGGCCGCTTAGTTGAAAAATACATTTGCCTGCTTATGTACAGTTGCACCGAAAAATGCGAGTTGTGTGACTCCACCACTAGCCTAAACGACGAAGGGGGACCACGCCCTCCCTGGAATTTTTTCAATTTTGCATCTGTACCTATACACGACCACTTACAAACATACTTGAAGGTTACCTGTTGAAGACCCCTCACAAAAATTTCTGCTATGCCCCTGTACTCTGCCCAAGTACAAGGAAAAAACGGGAACAATATACATGAATAGTTTTGAACATGCCAGCAACAATGCTATAAATTCTATGTTTTCCTTCACTAAATTAAGTAAAGTGCAAACATCAAAAAATATTTTTCTCAAACTTCTACTTGGATTCATATTTTTGTGATTCTGTGTACTATTTTTCAAACTATTTATCTGATTGCAGCTAAATGTTGCCTACGCATACTACATGCGAACAAAAGTGTTTTGAACTTAAATGTTGCTGATGCTCTCAAAAGTTATGAGCTTCGAGAAAAATCATTCACGTTGCGAAAAATTGTGGCACGGTGCATGCGGATATTTCTCGTTTTATGGGAACTCAAGCATATCAGCTACTTCAAATATAACCTATGAGTGACCAAAGGAACACATTAGTATCATCCCACTTTGTTTATATGAACTTGTGATATACTTTAATGTCCATTCTACCATATGCAACCTTTAGCTTAATGTGGCTGGCTACTGTTTTCCAAGTAATCATTAAATGGCTTCACTATAGGAGTTTATTGCTATAAATCGATCGGTGCAAAAGTTTTTGCAACTTTCTAGTACAAACTGAGTTAGAAATATTTCTTGCATGCAGTAATTGTGTTCTTTATTCTCTCATCCCAATAAACACGCTGGAGGATAAGCAGGGAAAGGTGACACGGGAAAGAAGATGCGTTGCGTGCATGTCCTGATGTTGAGCCCTTTTTCTCTTATTTTTTTTTTTTTTCTCTGAATGCTCCGCTTACTTTCAGTGCGATCTCGATCACAAGCATACATGCGAGTACGTGCGCTCTTGTTTTCCTCAGCACCATCCTCCTGGAGGGCAATCGAGGCAGCTGTCTGCAGTCTTCTGAGAGAGGATTGGATGCCAGCATATGGGTGAGATCAGCACCAACCCGGCAGAGGCCTTGCAAGCCTTAGTCAAAGTCACTGTCACACAACTGCACCCCATAGACCATTTTATGGATGGCAAACGGTGCTGTTATATTAAGCTGTTAACCCGGTTGTTTTGTATCTTGAACAACTAAGTGAACAGCGAGCGCTATGGCAGTCACACATGCATGAAAATGGTTTGGTTAGTGCATTCACTGTTTTATGACGTTGATGAAAAATTCAAGTTGCGATATACAAAAATAAAACCTTTGTTTAGCATTTCGAGGTGGCAGCACTCGTATGCCTCATGTGAGATCATCTGTAGGAGCCTTCTCTTGATTGAACTCCTAAGCATAAGCTGCATTTACTGTCTACCACACAAATTCACCCATGTGTGAGCATCATACAAAGGATGCTTTAAAATACACATAAAGTGGTGTAATAATTCAATGAAAATTGCCTAGAATCAAGTTTATTTTGTAAATTAATGTCGACGACTGTATTTCCAGCAGCATCAGCATGTAATTTAATTTTTCATCAGTATGTAAAAGATTCTAGATCGTGAAAATGCAGATGTACATCTTCCAAGAAAAAGCTTCTTTTTTTTCTTCCCTGGCCTGTATAACTGTGCTGATGGGAAAGATGCAGCACATGATGGACAGCTAGAGAAAAATGACCCTGTGCTTTTGGCAGTACTGTGCATTGCACGCATGACGTCATTCTAGTATTGAGCACCCATTGGTGCTAGTGGAGCACCTGCTATTCATGTGCAAATCACTGGCGCCTTCTGAAGCTGTATCAGACAACAGCTGATTCAGAATTCGAAGACATTTCAATGCTGCATTTTATATACCAGCAATATTTGTAGGCCTGGTTATTTTTAGATGCGTAGCAGCTTATGGATGATGATGCCTGTCTTCGGTCGTGCCTTAGCCATCGCTAGTACGCCCTGCCACGGTGGTCTAGTGGCTAAGGTACTCGGCTGCTGACCCGCAGGTCGCGGGATCAAATCCCGGCTGTGGCGGCTGCATTTCCGATGGAGGCGGAAATGTTGTAGGCCCGTGTACTCAGATTTGGGTGCACATTAAAGAACCCCAGGTGGTCAAAATTTCCGGAGCCCTCCACTACGGCGTCTCTCATAATCATATGGTGGTTTTGGGACGTTAAACCCCACAAATCATCATCGCTAGTACAGCACATGCTAGTTGCCCTCTATAGACGATCAAGAACAGGCGTGTTCCAGACCACACATTTTCTTTCTCCAATCGCTGCGCAGCACACGCAAGGTACCCACCATGCGCCATGACAACAATGATGATGATGATCACAGACGACTGGTTTGTGCAGTAGATGACATCACAGGAAGCTCTCGGATGCATTTTGTGTGCCTGAAAACAAACAACCACCAGGAGATCGTGCACAGACCTCACCTTCTCCAACTTCAGGCTAGACGCGTTACCAAAAAGCAGTATTAATGAAGGCCAAATGTAATTCACAACTCAGAATAGCATAGAATTTATGACCAATAAACATCGTATATAACTCCACACTGCTTTGTCACTCATTGATATGCATGAGTTGTCAATGTCACAGGTGATTTACAGTAACACCAAACAATCTGACTGCTTCGCCCATTCGTAAGCATTCACTTTGTAGATATTCCATGACTTTTTTTGCTTGTGGGTCTATCTATATTTTGTCTCTCTCTGTCTCTCTTTCCTTAGGTGCATGTCATCAGATAGAAGTCACTGGTGTCTGGCGACCACTGCATCTGATTCCCCCCCTCCCCCCCCTCCCCAGCTACCTTTCTTTTGGTCCCTGGATCGAATCCCAGCCACGGTTAAAAGCTGTGCTAACAAATAGTGACCCAGGGATTTGTTCAAAAAGCCTGTGAAATGTTGTTTTTTATAAAATACTGTATCTGTATTACTTTTCCTTTGTCTGTAACTAGTGCATTTTGTAGTGTTGCTTCTTAATTTATATGGCATCTTTTTATAATATGTTTATGTTGTTGCCTCTGTATTACGTGAGAGGTTTTTTATTGCTCTTTTTTTTTTGCTGCCTCTTATTATTATGCTTCCGCTTACTCATGGTCGTTTTGCATTGAAGTACCGCATAAACTTAGCTTTTAACCATTCGTTGCTTGATTCATTTATTTTATTTCATTTATTGGGTCTCAATGTCAATTTTTTTATTGCCAGGAGGCAAACTTCAATCAGTATTGTTATTATTGAGATTCATTCATCCTTCTAGCATTAGTGATTCCTTAATTACTCCCCACTGTGGTTTTTGCTGCACTGCTTTCACTCTTGTTAAGTTCTTTTTTTCCTCTGTCGCTCTCTCTGAAAGTTTAGGCAGGCATATGAGAACTTGGAAATTTCATCTGAAAAAAAGATGTTCTCACTAATGGCACTACGATCCTATAGTTTTTCGACTTGATCACACAGACTTGCAAACACATTATGTAGACTGAAAGGGGTCGTGAAAATGTCAGTATAGTTGCAAGCTGAGAAAAAGCAATTTCAACATGCATGCTTTGTAGATTCAGGATTTCTATAAGACAAACTGGTAATGTGCTCAAGCGCAGCCGAGTTCTAAATTAAAGATTGTTGTGTATTTTAGGCACTGTCTAAATGTGGCAGCTGCATTAAATGTGCATTATGCAGCAGCACTATGGGTGATAAGTTGGGCTTGCTATTCGCACTGTCTCTTTAGTACACTGACTAATGCTTGCGTGTAAGAGGAAGAAAGTAAGTGGAAGTAGCAATTAGTTAACATAAATTGTCTACAATCGATGGCACCACATTTTAGATGAGAGAAGCACAGCGCTCGGCGATTGAAATGCCATACTCTGTGGTCGGTGGCTGCTGGCGGTGAGGGTAACGGTGAAAGCAATGGTTTTTGTGACGCATGGGCATTGCGTTCGATTAACAGTTGTTCAGCCTGTGCTGCATAGTGGTGACATTGCAATCCTTCATAATGCATGCTTGCCAGCTCTACCTGCATCATGCCATGCAGCGCGGAAAGGCAGTGTTTTGAAGCCATATTGAAAAATGTTATGCTTTTGTCGTTAAGAGCTGCAGATTGAACGTTTGGATGTAGTCATCATGCATCAGAAATGCTCTCGCACTCACTGTCTCTCTTACCACGAGCAGGTATGCGCTTCTTGTATCAAGTTGCAGTCACTGAACAATGTGCTTGCTCTTTCGTGATCTATTAAAATAGGCCACGTTTGTGCATATGCTTCTGGTGCCAATACCTTTGCTAATTTGAGGCTTGCCCTACAGAGGTCCTTTCTTTGTATTGTACTGCCAGCACTACATAATAACATGCCTTTTTTAATTATTATTGTTGCACTGTGGCGTACACTTCTTTAAAAGCCACTACACTGAAGAAAAATACTGGCTCGAGCCAGAAATGCTAGCCTTTGCACTAAGGACACATTACGTATGTTAAACAAGGATGATATAGAAATATTGTGTGGTTGCCACTGAATTGATACACTTTTGTTCCTTCTCTCCTGTTTGTATTATGTGCCTAATTATAAAAAAAAAATATTTTTGTTGAAATGTTACTACGCATATCGTACTTGACTCAAGTGACAAAGTACAATAGCACTATGCACCACCTCTATTTTCTTTGCATTTTTTTTACTAATATTAAAGATGTTCTTGCCACGAATACTTGTGCTATACATAAGAAATTCTTTCGCTGAGAAAAAGGCAATGATTAATATTGTGAGTCCTTTCTTGAAGCGCATTGTCTAACTGTGATCAATGGGGACAAAAACATTTGGCCATCTAAAAACATATGTTAGGATTATAGGCTTTTCCTTTCACTTCTACAACATCAAAATGGGACATCATCTCGTGTGTGCACTTATTGACCTACCAGCAACCATAATTGACTATATTACTGTATGGCAGTCATTCGGATGTAAATTCAGGTGTTCATGAATTCACTGTTCCCTTTTTGTATTGCCTCGAGAGTATTTGTCGCAACCGTTAGATGGCTGCTAGAAGTGCAAATATATTTTCATGGTAACAATTAGATGTGCACTTCGCTTACCTGTTCCTTCGATGTCTCAGGTGTGCTTACGCAGGAAGTCTGTAAGAGTGACCAGTTTGGATTTTTTAATGCTGTCTTCAAAGCTTTTTGATTAATTTTTGTTAATTAGCATTAGTCTCGCATCATATCTAAATTCTATAATACAGCACGATGGATTGATTTTAATCAAGGCAAAATATAGACACTTGTGAAGTCAGTTTGGTAGATTCCAAAGAAATCGAGGTTGTTTTTGAAAGCACTTCCTGTTTTCCTGCTGTACAGCATGGCTCCTATCGGGAAAGAAAATGCGTTGCGTGCATGTCCTGACTTTGAGCCCTTTTCTTCTTTTCTTTCTTTGAATGTTCTGCTTACTTTCAATGTGATCTCGATCACGAGCATACATGCGGGCGGGTATGCTCTTCTTTTCCTCAAATAACATAAGTTTATCTTAAGAAATAGGAAGCAACATTTAAATAACTGGTCTAATTGCATTTGCGCAGAATTGAAACCTTCCAGCAGTCTAGCAGCTGCCATTGGTCAGGACGGACATCCGAGACACCGCTACAGCTGTCACTTTTGTGACTATACAACCTTGAAGTTGTCCGATCTGGAGACACACATCAAGGTTCACACAAGCGAGCGACCCTATAAGTGCAACCAATGCCTTCAGAGCTTCTCAGTAAAGAGTTCATTAACAAAACACCTGCTCAACCATGCGGGTGTACGGCCCTATAAGTGCCACCTATGTCCTCAGTGCTTCACGAGAAAGCTTAAGTTAACGGACCACCTGCGCACTCACACGGGTGAGCGACCATTTAAGTGCCACATATGCACTCGGAGCTTCGCGTTAAAGTGTACACTAACAGATCATTTGCGCGTTCACACAGGCGAGCGGCCGTATGAGTGCAGTGAATGTCATCGGCGCTTTGCGGGAAGGAAATCATTAACAGATCACATACGCACTCACACAGGTGAGCGTCCTTTAAATGCGAACATTGTTCCCAGTGTTTCAGAGCTAAGCAAACGTTGAGGGAACACATGCGAATTCATACGGGTGAGCGGCCGTATAAATGCGACAAATGCTCCCAGAGCTTCTCTAAACAGTCCACATGGAAAGGTCATCTGCGCACCCACACGGGTGAGCGACCATATAAGTGCCCTTTATGCCCGCAGACATTTCCATATAACTACGGCCTCAAAAAACACATGCATCAGCACGAGTGTGCAAGGGCACCTTCATTAGACGCACAAGTGAAAATTGAGAAGTGAGGGCACAGATTTGCAATTGTAAAGTCTGCCGAATGAATGTGCAAAAGCCGTGTGCACTGACTTGCAGGGGAGGGAGTAGTGGATCACCAACATGGCACTGAAAGCGAGTTTGTCAGTGTGACGTTTAGTCACCTTGCTCACGCCATTCAAAAGATACCAAAAAGAGAAAGGTAAGGGGAAGACAGTGTAGTTAACCAGAGGAGATCTTGCAAAAGCGAACACACAAACTGAATAGTCAAAATAATATGATCACTGTGGCTCTGAAAACACCGTATATGACCAGCGGCATTTCACCAGAACTCTGATCTCAGTGACAACTAATGCTTAAGTACTTACACACCACAAGGGTTGTATAGGTACGCTCATGGACCTTTGTGCATCTTCACATTGTATTCTTACAAATGCAACTACTGAGGTTTTTGTGGTATTTTGATCTTTGGTTTGTGTCTTGTACCTTGATTGTTATTTTTTCTTTTTATATACCTAAGAAATATTTATTGTTTGTCTGTAGATACAATTAGTTCTCTAGAAACCTCATTTCGTGGTTTCATATATATTGCTAAAGTACGTTAGTGGGCTAGTTGGTTTGCATCCTTGGAGTGGGAGTAAGTGCGAACAGACAAGGAAGTAGAAGAGTACTGACATAGACAGAGCACTACTTTGAGCTCAAAGTAGCGCTCAGCTCAAAGTAGCCCTCTGTCCATGTCAGTACTCTTCTACGTCCTTGTCTGTTTGCGCTTACACCTCATGAGTTTCATATATAGTTAGTGTAGTTTATGACTGCAGGAAATTTAGCCAACCAAGACTAATGAAAAAGGAAATTCAGCTATTTTGTAACGAAGACTTTCTCATGACTTTTATGAAATGAAAAGTAAACTAGCGCACAACTAGTTTGACCAAATTTCAGATGTCTAATGTAAGTGTTCAACTGCAAAATATATCAGGACCTCTTTCTGTCACACACAAATTACTGTAGTTTGGTGTGGTCTACCATGACAAAAAGTAACCTAGTGAAACATCAAATGCTACAAGGGAAACTCGTGAGACATGTAGCCAACCTAGATTACTGCTCATCAGCATATTTTGTGTGTCGGGATGTGTTCAACTGCAAAATATATCAGGACCTCTTTCTGTCACACACAAATTACTGTAGTTTGGTGTGGTCTACCATGACAAAAAGTAACCTAGTGAAACATCAAATGCTACAAGGGAAACTCGTGAGACATGTAGCCAACCTAGATTACTGCTCATCAGCATATTTTGTGTGTCGGGATCATAATACTGTTGAAAATAAAAACGTGCAGGTTCTTAATTCTGGTATCTTATCTTTGTTTCGAATATTTTAAATGATCAACTCAAAATACTACGTATGTATAACACCCAGAGATGTTACCGCATGCACAGGGGGCACAGAAATGTAGCACATTCACTGAAACTTCAGACGCTGCAATTTGCCTGATGTTGTTACAAGGAGTATTTATTTAGGGGTCGTGAGTCTGTAGGAAAGCGGGATTATAGTGTACAGCGTGCACAGAATGCCAGACAACAAGGCAACCCAGGCTGAGCCCGACAACACCAATGTCGTCATCTTCTAGTGCCATTTCAGCTGTTCTACTGGAGAGGTATTTCCACACCCGTGACATTACCCCGGTTTGTAAAGCCACCGTCTCGGTGCCAGCTATGACTAAAGGGGTGTGTCATCATTGTAGGCCTTCAGGCGAGAGACATGCACTATGCCGGTTTTGAGAGTAGCCACGATTGTGGAAATATCTCCCCGGTGGAGCAGCTGAAGTGGCACCAAACGAATGAAGACGACGATGATATTTTGAACAATGCAGTCACGTAGCGAGCTTCTCGTTTTTTATTTTTATTTATAGAAATACCGCAGGCCACAAGGCCCATGCAGGAAAGAAGATGCAAAAACATCAAAACAATGCAAAAAAAAAGATGACAAGCAAAGTACAAACAGAATCTGAAAGAAATAAAGTATAACAGGTGTTGAAAAGGCAACACAAATAAACGCGTGTGAATATAGTAATGGTCAGAGAAATTCTCAAGCGAATGAAATAGAAAATTGTTATTAACACAGGAAAAAGATACTGTTTACAAAGTAACCTAGGAGGAGGCACATTACTGTGCTAAGGTCAATAGTTCATTTCAATTAGCCATCATTTGTGGAAAAAATGAGAATTCATATAGATTTGTTCTGGCAAAATAAAGAATAAAAAAAGTGCGTTGATTGAACGAATTCGTCATGATGTATGTAAGGATAAGAATGGTGCTGAATCGAGCTTGAGCTTCCGATTAAACAAGGAATATAAAATCTTTAGGTGACGTCCTTTTGCTGGGACTGCAATGAAAAGACCTGTTGGAATTCCATAAATGACTCCACGAAAAACTGAGGACCATATAAAAGAAAAAAAAGAAAAATAAATCGCACAGCTTTTAGCCCAATTTTTTCAAGCACGGTGATGTTGTCGTTGGTGCACAGGTTTGATATTACAGAAGCGTATTCAAGCTTAGGCCGCATATTCAAGGTAAGTATAAAAGCTTGCCTAATTTCATTTTGTAGATTAGCAATTACAAAAAACATACCTGCTGCATTATTTTCTTGTAATAGCTTTGATATACATTGAGTAATATGAAATATATGTCAGAAATATAAATTTTTCTATTAATACGTTCCTGTTTTCACTATATTTTTGTTAAGTGCAAAGTACTCATAATGATGCACATTGATGAAATTATTCTGTGGAATATTGCTTTTATTTTGCTCAAATATTGTCATTGTGTTTGTATGTTTCCTTTTATTTTTTTATTCCTTTTGGGTGTGGATGTTTCTCCTGCCGGTTTATTCGTAAGATATGAAAATGTACGTGATGTTTATATAAGTACTCTTTTAAAATGCGAAAGTAACAATATGTCATGTAATATGTCATGTCACAATATCTCAGTAACAGTAATAACATGTCTTATATATACACACACTTTGTATTGTGTCTTGTGTAATGCTTGTTTTGGTCACATCTGCTGTGATTGTAAAGGGATCTTGATCTACTCTAGCAGCGCATAACAGCTTTTAGTAAAGAAACTTCTGCAGAATCTGTATTTTTCTGTGAAATTAAAAATATTTTATTGGATTGGTTGGCCCATATATCAGTTTCTTCTCTGCCGCGGTGGTCTAGTGGCTAAAGTACTTGGCTGGTGACCCGCAGGTCGCGGGATCGAATCCCGGCTGTGGCGGCTGCATTTCCTATGAAGGCGGAAATGTTGTAGGCCCGTGTGCTCAGATTTGGGTGCACGTTAAAGAACCCCAGGTGGTCGAAATTTCCAGAGCCGTCCACTACGGCGTCTCTCATAATCATATGGTGGTTTTGTAATGTTAAACCCCACGTATCATCATTATATCAGTTTCTTATTTCATGTGTAGCATTGTCTAGGTCTTTCACAGATTTATTTTAAAGGGATGCTGAACAAACATTTGAAAAATAATATTTATGAAAGCATGAAAATGCTTTCATAAATATTTCTATATAATTGGAAATGCTTTTATATATATTTTTGATGTACTCGGAAGAGACAACTGTGCTTGGCACGCCCATTTCCTGCCAGTCAAAAGTCACTTGTTGTTATTCATTATTTTTCGTTGCCTGAAAACAAGGTTGTGTCAACAAATTTTAGCACCCGAGCTTTTGAATATAATGAATTATTTGGGCGGAAGTTTTGTTCAGTATCGGTTTAAAACACTACCGACGGCTTAGAATAATATGTTAAGCAGATGGCTTAAATCATATTACAGAAGCTTTAAGTGCACGTTAAAGAACCCCAGGTGGTCAAATATTCGGACTAATCACTATGGTTTCTCTCATAATCATACTGTGGTTTTGAGACGTTAAAGTTCAACAATTAATCTTATTATTACGACATAATTGCTAATAAACATGGAGCAGATGCAAAGACTTCTCCAGATGTGTGAAGCAAAAGGCAGCTTGTGAGTACGACTGAAACAGCATGAAATTAGTACAGTCAACCTCGATGTAACCAAGTCAGTAATATCAGCAATTTACTTTGCTATATCGAAACTTCAAATTAAAATTGGGCAACTTTTTTTCTTTTACAGGAAGTGGCTGATCTAAGAATGGTGGTACAATACAGCAACACAAGAAAAATAATCTCAATGTGAGAAACAAACTTCTTTGAATATCGAACCTGCTGACCGTGACTGCGCACTGCATGGCAAAGCCCTCTTCATAATGGTTGTGGGATGCCGGGTCGACGAAAGGCCACATTCTAACATGACGCATAACGGCTGTTAATTAGGGTAGTAGCAGCAGCGGAGCGAACACACCGATGCTCCCTCAAACGTTTAGGGAAGAAACAAATCTTTCGACCTTGACAGCTTGGTTTTACAGCCATCGTCAGTGACTTAAGCTGTGGTAGCGCTGGTCCTTATCGGAGGCCTGTTGCAGCATGCGGCCGTGTCAGGGCGGGCTAGCTAGAGACGAGGCGAAGGCTGCCCCGGTTTGTGTCGCCACACGGTCGAACCTGTGGCAAAAGTTTGCTTACATCCACATTTCCACCATTACCGTATCAATATTGTGGGCTAGCATTCCATTTTGAGTGGCTCACAGCTGCGATCTGTTTCACAAATGCACTGAGGATGCATCAATGCCTTGGTTTTCAGCGAATTCACACAAGAAGTGTGCCTGCATAGTCAACACCCCTAGACAATGCCAGTGAGTGCAAGTGCTGAAAGCAGGGAATTCTCCACGAAATATCTTTTTAGATTGCGCGGGGGCAAACTCACCTGAATATCACAGACATTTCTTGGTGAACATTATGAATAATTGTGAAGAATTTGTAGCAGGAGCATGTTATTCGGTCTTGATGTCAACGCGGACTTGAAATGAACTTTTCTCCAAAGCACTGCTCTTCGTCAGAAAGAAACAATTTCTCTGTAACCACTGCCGCTGTCAAGTTCAAATTTTGGCGACTTGTTTCTGAATAGCATGTGCACTTGCTGAAGCAAAAGAATGGTGTCACTATAAGAACTTTATCTTTTACGAAATCATTTTTTTTTAGATAAAAGCCTTGAAGTCATCAAAGACCTAATCTTTCACTAAAGAATGGTCATGCCTAGATTTATTTTGGTTCAGAAGAAGGACAGCCTGGGCACACTTATCTACCACGAAATTTCTCGCTTTTCACGTATGTTCCTTCAAAAATAAGGAAATATATATATTGCAGTAATTATTTTTATCACAATTAGAATGAATGCATATCATCTCGCAAATTTCACGAAACAAATGCTTTATCTTCATGAAACTCTATTAAAGCAGTTTGCTAAACTTGTTGAAGTTGGCTTCAAGAATAATAACAAAGAGATATGCCGTAGTAGTTCTACATCTATCTTTGCAAAGTGTGTTTGCTGCCGGTTGCCCCTTAAATTTCGCGCCATTAAGCGCCGCATTCTGGCGGTTAAAAATTGCACTAAAAAAAGGCTACTTTTTTGTTGCTTTATCGTTTAAGTTGTAAACAATGTATAACAAATATTGTTTATTTTTATTAGGTGTTTGTCATTGTGACAGTTTCTAATAGTAAAGGTAAAGCACTTGTAATTTGTGTTCGTTTTGCTAGAGTGAGGTTGCGCTAGCCATAGTATGGTGGTTATATAGCCATAGCCTCCATAGTTCCCTTTACAGTGTACTAGAATATTCTAGTACACTGTAGTTCCCTTGCTTGCCGGATGAGCGCGAAACGCCCGTCATCTATAGCAGCGCTACCTACGTAAAAATAAAGGTCTTTATGCTTGACCTTTGAGATGGGCAATATTGCTAAATTTAGAGGCTATGCCTTGTAATGAAGGGGTTGCCTGCTAATTGAGCGCAAAACGCCTGTCAAATTTGTCAGCACTTACGTAGGGTTAATTATAATTATTGAACGTCTCTTTAAAAGTTTTTACGTTATTTTTATTGCATATAAGCTCCAAAAACGTAAGAATTTATTTGAAGACATTTCCACTTACGTAGCGCTACCACCATAGTTCTGACGACAGCCGTTTCCCAAGTGACCGCCAATAATTTGGCAGGCAAAGGAAATCTAGGAGGCAATGCTCTAGCGTAAATAACGTTGATTCAAGCGACATGTTTTTCTGCGCTCCATGGTGTATATTTATTTTGTGGCATCCACGGAGGATGCCACAAAATAAATATCCTTTCCTTCCTCCGTGGTGGCATCCATGTTTTGCATAGAGCTTCCTCAGTACACTCTTTCAGGAAACTCGATGTTCTGTGGCAGTAGTTCTCTAGTTTTTTCGCTTTGCATCGTTTGCATGCTTGCCTTTTCCACCGTTTCTGTTGTCGGCAGGCTCCGGCAAATGGACCGGAAAGAGAGCGTCCAGAGGCGATGGGTTCACTCTCGAGAACAGCAGCGAGAAACCGGCGCACACTCTACCGGCACGAAGTGCGAGCGTCGATCGCGAAAGTTCGGTGAGAGGATCGCCAGCGACTCTCTTGATTGAGGAAGTGCGAACGCAACCGTCTACGGACTAATAATCTTCGAGCTTCTCTCGCAGCCTCGTGAAATGGTTTTGTGCGTGTGAAAAATGCAACACGGTGGAAGTGATTTTGGAAGAAGCTATATCGATGTGAACGTCACCGATCGTTCTCAAACGCTATCTGCACTTAGTGTGATAAACGCCTCTGTGATGCCCTCATTGTCAACATGCCCTAAGCAACCAGGCGGAATTGCATTCGCGGCCATTCTGAGCAAAAAACAAAAGGCCGATCCAGAGGCTCTTGGGATCGTTCCCGGTGTGTTCCTGAAGTGGCTATTTTGTCGACATCTAGACGGGATAGAATTCGTACTTCGCAACCTGTGTATGTTGACTTTCCAGCGGGAATATTTTCCAAACGAGGACTTTCATTCAAAGAACGCTTTGTCTCTTTCGGAAGTGTTTTTACCCCTCATTCCAACGAAGGCTGCCTAATACTGTGAAGGTTTAGGGGTAGAATTTTTCTTTCTTTACCTTATGGTCAGTTATAGTGCACTTAAGTAGGGCACCAAGTTGGGCTAGTTGGTTAACATTCATTTAAAAAGCTTAATAACTGCTCTAGTAAACACAACCAAAAGAGGAGGAAAGACTGGACACGCACAGTCTCGCAACTGACCGTTTATTCATCCAGCTGGGAGCCTGTGCATGTACGATCCTGCCTTGTCTTTTGCCCATGTTTGCTAGCACAGTTATCTGGCCTTTGAAATGTATAGTACTCTTGCCTCTTACTTCAATTGGCTCTCGGCAACCTCTCGCTACCCAGTCGTCTCCACGTGTCATTGTAGCCTCCTCAGAACCTCAAGCTGGCCATCCATAAATCCACACGCAACAGAGCACTCTTCAGCCCCGTGCCCTCACTCAGTCAACTCTGAGGAACTCATTTGGGTCGATGAAAATTTAAAAAAAGCTCCAAAGAAAGGGTTCCCTCTTTCTTTTTACTACGAATACCTTCAGCCGCAATAAAAGCATTGCTAACCAGCTTGTTCATATTGTGAGGATCATCATGTTTTGACAACCTATTTTGTAACTTCATATTGATGCATCACAAACATATTACTGTCACTGTGATACTGCAAATATTACAAACAGGTTCTGAAGGTATTCAATGTTTATAAAGCTTACATGCTCATGCAGAAACCAAGTTGACCTTGTTGGCAAATTTAATGTCCAGGCAAAATGCTACAGACCCGTGCACTTAGATTTAGGGGCACACTAGAGAATCCCAGTTAGCCGAAATTTTGCAAGCGCTTCACTGCGGCATCTCTCAGAATCATAACGTGGTTTTGAGATATGAGACCATTAACAATTATTACCATTGCAGTTATGACACTGGTGATGACCACCTAATTGAGATAGGCACCAGCTGCTTTATTTACTGCTTATACAACTTTACCCACAAGTGGACATTGTTCAAAGAAAGCTCTAAAATTCTTGGAAAACAAATAATAATTATCAGGCAAGCATTACTAGGTATTCGATGCATGCATTCAGCCGTCTAGGTGTTTAATCAGTATATTTCAACCATTACCTTTTTATCAACGTCATGATGACATTTTTAGTACCGATTGTACGTATGGTCTTCTTTAAGTATTGAAAATTTAGAAGATTGCTGCAATTTCATGTGTAAAGCTTTATTTTTTTTTACTGCTCTTACTTACCAAAAGAAGACTGCTCTTCGTATTCCTCATTTCCCCTGACTGACTCACAATAATGAAAGAAGAAATTAAATATGTGTGTCACTCAGCCAAGAACCTAAAAGATTCAAGAGTAAAAAACCCTGGTTTTGCATGCATCTTGGTCCCTAAATAACTTCTGTTCATTGACCAGTGATTTATTAATTGATGTTAATTGTTCATTGACATCAATCATTGTTTATAGAGTGCATTATGGCTGCCAAGACCTTGTCTGTAAACCTTGCTCTTCTTTGCCTCAGCAACAGGCTTCTTAAGTACCATAAAGGTCTGCAACCTGCTCAGAGGAGGTACCAGCATGTTGGTGAGATTAGCACCAGCTCTGTAGGGGTCGTTCAAGCCTTATTTGAAGGACTCATCTGCACCACATAAACCATTTTACGGATAGGTTTGCAATGCCGCCGTATTGGGCTGTTAACTCTGTTGTTTGGTATCTTTAGCAACTAAATGAACAGCGCTACGATAGTCGCACATGCATGAAAATAGTTGGATTAGTGCATTCAAGGTTTTATGACCTTGTCAAGTCACATTGCGATTTACGAAAATAAGAAAAAATCCGTTCAATAGCTCAAAGGGGGGGAACCCGTATGTCTCATGTTAGATCATCAATAGCAGCCTTAATTCTCTTGATTGTACTCCTAAGCATAAGTTCCATTTACTGTCTACCACACAAGTTTACCCATGTGTGGGAATCGTACAAAGGATGCTTCAAAATGCTCGTAAAAGAGTGTAATGATTGAGTGAAAGCTCCCTAGTATGAAGTTTATTTTGTAATTGAATGTCAACCACTGTTTTCCCAGCAGCACCAGCATGGCGTTTAATTTTTCATCGCTCTGTGAAAGATTCTAGATACCGAAAAATGCATATCTGTAACTTGCACTGCAAACCCTTTTTGTTTTTTCTATTTCGTAGAGCTCTACTGGTGGGAAAGACGCAGCACATCATGAACTGTCAGAGAAAAATGTTGTCATGCTTTTGACAGCTCTGTGCATCTTGCTCGTTATGGTCATTCCAGTGGCGAGTTCCCATAGGTGCTAATGTGCTCACCTGCCGTTCATGTGCGAAATGCTGGTGCCTACTGAAGTTGTATCTGGCAATAGCTGATTCAATATTCAAAGGCAGTTCAACACTGCCCTTTATATGCCAGCAATATTTGTGGGCCTGGTTATTTTTTGTGTTGTTCTAATCACTGTTTTTAATATATTCCCTCTCTCTCCCTAGGTGTTTGTCATCAGATATCAGAGGATTCTGTTGTCACAGTTGGATAGTGAAGGTCACATCGGAACTCCTGTTATCTACGTTTCTTTTCGTGCCTGGATCCAATCCTGGTCGCATCCAAATGTTCCATGATGAAACAGCGGCCCAATAATTTGGTCAAAAAAAAAAATGTCGAACCTTAATCTTTGTTAATGAATGACTATGTCTTCATTACTTTTCCTTTGTCTATTCAACTAATGCATTTGGTATTGTTACTTTGTGAATGTCATGACATCTTTTCTTATCATGCTCATGTTGTTATATATATGTTAGGGATTTTATGGTGCTGTTTGTCCTGTTGCATTGTATTATTCTGCTTTAGCTTTCTCATTGTACTTTCACATTTAAGCATCGCATAAACATAGCTTTCATTTAACCATACCCTGCTTGATCAGTTTATTTCATCACACTTTATAAATTACAGTGTTTTTCAAGCATTTGTGCATTTATACAACTTAAATGCTTCCAACAAGAGGGAACACGGCTGTACAATTTTGTACTAAGTGTATTGATGTCGTATAAAAGCTAACTAAACTGAAGTGTTTATCAGGTCATAGCTTTGTATCATACTTAATGTTGCAAAGAAAGTTGAGTGGTGGGCCTGATTGTGTCATTTGTTGTTGCCAGGCGGACAAAATTTCATCAGCATCCGTTACTATAGAGGTCCAGTCATCCATCTAGCAGTATTGATTCCTTAATTACTCCCAACTGTAGTTTTGGCTTTACTGCTGTCACTCTTGTTGAGTCTTTTTTTTCTTTCTCCCTCTTTGAAGGTCTGTGCAAGCATATGAGAACTTAGAAATTTAATCTGCAGATCTTTTCACTTATGGCTTTATGATCCTATAATGTTTATGTACAAACAAACGTAGAGAGATCTTTATGTAATTGCATATACTTGCGAATACATAATAAAGAGCTGAAAAAGGTCATAGAAAGGTCAGGACAGTTTCAAGCTGAAAAAAAAAAGACGATTTTAACACGCATGTTTTGTAAATTTAGGACTTCTAGAAGACAAACTGTTAATGCACTCGTGGGCAGCTCAGTTTCAAATTGAAGATTGGCGTTTATTCTGGCAACTGTCTGGACGTGTCTGAAGCAGAAATAACAGCAGCTGCACTAAATATGCATTTAGCAGAACTATGACTGATAAATTGCACTTTTCCATTTGTGCTTTATGTCTCTCAAGCGCACTGATTAATGTGTGCGTGTCCGAGGAAGAAAGTAAGTGGCAGTAATTTTGCATAAATTACCTATGATCAATGGCACCACTTTGCAGCGCTCGCAGATCGAAATGCGATACTTGATGGATGTGGCTGTTGGCAGCAAGGGTAATGGTGAAAGCGAGGACTTTTGTGACGCATGGGCCTTGTGTTCGATAAACAGTCGTTCAGCCTGCGCCGCTTAGTGGTGCCAACGGAGTAATGCAATCCTTGGCAATGCACGCTTGCCAGCTCTACCTGCGTTACCTCATGCGGCACGTGAGGGCAGTGTTTTGAAGCTGTAGTGAGCAGTGCTCTTCCATTGCTGTAAGAAACTGCAGACTGAACGTTTGTCTATGGATGTAGTCGCCATGCATCACAAACGTTCTCGCGCTCACTGTTGCTCTCAGCACCAGCAGCTGCATGCTTCTAGTATCAAGTTGCCGTAACTGAAAAATGTACTTGCTCTTTCTTGATTGACTAAAATAGGGCACATTTTCTGTGCGTATGCTTGTGGTGCCAATAACTTTGTTAATCTGAGACTTGTCTCTACAGATACCTTTCTTGGTATTGCACTGCCAGCACTACATAATAAGATGCCCTTCTTTATTATTATTGCACTGTGGCATACTCTTCTTTAAAAGCCACTAACTGAAGGTAGGTATTGGCTCAGGCCAGAAATGCTAGCCTCATATGGTAAAGAAGGATGATATAGAAATATTGTGTGTTTGCCACCAAACTGATACACTCAAGTTCCTTTCTTACAGTTTGAAGAAAATAAGTGTATACTTAAGGGCTCATTTTTCATTTTTAAAATGATGAGATCTAACAGGCAGTCATGCCAAGGAAAGTATAGGGGATGTTATATGATGCAGTTGTAATGTAAATTAAAAGAAAAAAAGTGGATGAAAAGATAACTTGCCGTAGACAAGCACCGATCCTGCAACTTTCGGATAGCACGTCCGATGCTCTACCAATTAGCTACCACAGCGGCTATTCCCCATTCACATTATTGAATATATATATATATATATATATGAATTAAGCATAGGAATGTCAGTCAGCACTGCCTGGGCCTATGAGGGCGAGGTGGAGCAATTTTTTCTGCTTGTTTTAGGCGTCTCGTGGCACATGATCTTATTACGAGCTGGCAGCTCTGGCAGCTGACCAATCATCCCTCGGGTACTACCTGACAGTACCAAGTCTGCCAGTACTGGATCCTTGTAATGAATAAAGAAAAGAAATGTGTGCTTAAGCCGCTGTGGTTGCTCAGTTGGTAGAGCATCGGATGTGTTATTTGAACGTCTCAAGTTCGGTCCCTGCCCTAAACTACGTTTTCATCCACTGTTCTTTCTTCAAATTTACATTACAATTGCCTCATATGAAATCCCCTATACTTTCCTTGGCATGATTGCCTATTAGATCTCTCTTATGTGTATTATGTGATTTAAAAAATATTGTCATTGAAGCATTACTACACACGGGTTATCGTACTTGACTCAAGTGACAAAGTGCAATAGCACTATGCACCACCTCTATTTTCTTTGCAATTTTTTTATAATATCAAAGATGTTCTTGCCACGAATACTTGTGCTATACATAACAAATTCTTTTGCTGAGGAAAAGGCAATGATTAATATTGCGAGTCCTTTCTTGGGGTGCATTGTCTAACTGTGATCAACGGGTACAAAAACATTTGGCCATCTAAAAAACATATGTTAGGATTATAGGCTTTTCCTTTCACTTCTGCAACATCAAAATGGGACATCATCTCGTGTGTGCACTTATTGACCTACCAGCAACCATAATTGACTATATTACTGTATGGCAGTTATTTGAATGTAAATTCAGGTGTGCATGAATTCACTGTTTCTTTTTTGTATTGCCTCGAGAGTGTTTGTTCCAACCGTTAGATGGCTGCTAGATGTGCGAGTATATTTTCATGGTAACAATTTAGCTGCGCACTTTGCTTACCTGTTCCTTTGCTGTCTGAGGTGTGCTTATGAAGTAAATCTGTAAGAATGACCACTTTGCATTTTTCAATGTTGTCCTCAAAGCTTTTTGATTAATTATTTTTAATTAGCATTTGTCTTACATCATATCTTCCAAATTCTATATTACAACCACAATGGCTTCGTTTTGATCGAAGCAAAATATAGATACTTGTCAAATTAGTTTGGTAGATGCTGAAGAAATTGAGGATTTTTTTTTTTAAAGCATCTTTCGTTCTCCTGCTATACAGCACAACTCGGATAATACCATATAAGTTAAGTTTATCTTATAGAATAAAAAGCAATATTTGAATAATTGGTTCTGATTGCATTTGTGCAGCATCGGGACCTGCCAGCAGTACTGTAGCTGCCATTGGTCAGGGTCGACATCCGAGACACCTCTACAGCTGTCAGTACTGTCACTATAGAACTTTTAACTTGCGCCACCTGGAGACACACATCAAGGTTCACACAAGCGAGGGACTTTATAAGTGCAACCAATGCCCTCGGAGCTTCTCGATAAAGTGTTCATTATCAAAACACCTGCTCACTCATGCAGGCGTGAAGCCCTACAAATGCCACATGTGTTCTCGGAGCTTCGCGGCAAAGCAAACATTAATGGAACACTTGCGCACTCACACGGGTGAGCGGCCATTTAAGTGCCACATATGCCCGCGGAGCTTCACAGTAAAGTGTTCACTAACAGACCACTTGCGCCTCCATACAGGCGAGCGACCTTTTGAGTGCAACGAATGCCATCGGAGCTTCACCTCAAGGCGTGCGTTAGCAGAACACATGCGCACCCACCTGAGCGAGCGGCCGTTCAAATGTGACCATTGTTCCCAGGGTTTCTTAGCTAAGCATACATTAATAGAACACGTGCGCATTCATACGGGCGAGCGGCCATATAAATGCGACATATGCTCCCAGAGCTTCTCTAAACGGTCCACAATGACGGATCACCTGCGTACCCACACGGGAGAGCGACCTTATCGATGCCCTCTATGCCCAGAGACGTTTGTGCATAACTCCAGCCTAAGAAGACACATACAGCAGCACAAACGTAAGCTTGTAAGTGTGCCTTCATTAGACGCACAAGTGAAAATTGAGAAGTGAGGGCACAGAATTGGTTAATTTAAAGTGCATTGTATGAATAGGCATCTACTCGTCTACACTCCGTCCCCTGCACGGCAATGCTCATTGCCAATGCTCATTGCTATCAAAAAGAGAAAGGTAAGGGGGTAAGGGAAAGACAGTGTAGATAACTAGAGAAGATCTTGCAAGACCGAACACTTAAACTGAATAGTCATAATACTAGCATGATCACTGTGGCTCTGCAAACACCATCTACGATCAGCGGCATTTCTCTACAACTCTGATCTCAGTGACAACTAATGATTAAGTGCTTACATATCATAAGGGCTGTATAGGTGTGCTCGTGGTCCTTTGTGCTTCTTCACATTGTGTTCTTACAAATGCAAGTACCGAGGTTGTCATGGTATTATGATCTTTGGTTTGCGTCTTGTACCTTGATTATTATTTTTTCTTTTTATACAACTGAGAAATGTTTATTCATTGTCTGTAGATACAACTAGTACTCTATAAATCTCATTTTGTGGTTTTATGTATAGCTAATGTGGTTTAAGACTGGAAGAATTTCAGTGAACCAAAACTGATGACAAAGAAAATTCAGTTATTTTGTAACAAAGACTCTCTCATGACATTTATGAAATGAAAAGTAAACTAGCGCACAACTAGTTTGACCGAATTTCAGATGTCTAATGTAAATGTTCAACTGCAAAATATATCAGGACCTCTTTCTGTCACACACAAATTACAGCAGGTTAGTGTGGTCTACCACGACAAAAAGTAACCTAGTGAAACATCAAATGCTACAAGGGAAACTCGTGAGACATGTAGCCAACCTAGATTACTGCTCATCAGCATATTTTGTGTGCCGGGATTATAATACTGTTGAAAATGAAAACATGCAGGTTTTTAATTCTGCTATCTTATTTTTGTTTCGATTATTTTAAACGGTTCAATAAAAATGCTACTTGTGTATGACGCCCAGAGATGTTACCGTATGCACAGGGACCACTGAAATGTAGCACATTCACTGAAACTTCAGACGCTGCAATTTGCCTATTATTCTGAACAATGCAGTCACGTAGCAAGCTCCTTGTTATAAAATACTTGAACTCTTTTTCGTAGATTTACAATTGCAAGAAACATACCTTCTGTAGAATTTGAAGTTATAGCTTGGATATACATTGCATAACTCAAAACATATATCAGGAATATCAATTTGTCTATTAATATCTATTTGTTCTCACTACATTCTTGTTTAGGGCAAAGTACTGGTAATTATGCACATTCATATAATAATTCTGTGGAGCATAGCTTTTTTTTTCGTTCAAATATTGCCATTGCACTTGTTTCTCTTATCTTTTGTTAATTTCGGGTGACAATGTTTTTTATGCAGGTTTATTCTTATGCTGTGAAAGTGTGGATGATGTTTATATAGGTACATTTTTAGAAATGTAAAAATGACAATATGTGTAACATGTCATGTCACAATATCTCAGTCACAGTAATAATGCATCTTAAAATATACACACTTTGTATTGTGTCTCGTGTAATGCTTGTCTTAGTCCCATTTGCCTTGCTTGTAAGTAGATCTCTGGTGTAGTCTCCTGTCTATAGCAGCCTTTAGTAAGAAAACCTCTCCAGAATCTGTATTTCTCCTGGAAAATAAAAATTATTTTATTTAATTAGTTTGTCCATATTTCAGTTTCCTATTTCATGTGTAGAATAGTCTAGGTGTCTCACAGTTTCTTCTTTTAAGTGATGCTGAACAAACATTAAAAAAAAAATGAATGCATGAATCTTCCAGTCTAAAGATGCAAGATGCAGCTGCTTTGAAAGAAAGTGTTTCTTTGACATATTTTTGACTGGTTGGCTGTATTTCAGAAGACTGTGATCGCAGGGCAGCTGCTCACCAGCATGCGCTAAGGAACGCATCGATGGTCATGGCTAGCTGTAACAATGAACATGCGAGGGGCGGAAATGGGGCGCATGCTTTCCTGTCCAGCTTTGCCCCTTTTTCCAGCTCTCCTTTACATCCCATTATTCCTTCTCCTATTGAGGCACTGAAGCAGGCCCTATGGGGGAGCATTGGTTGCTGCCGGTGCCATTCACACTGATTTTAGGGAACGAAGGGGAGGCAGAGGGGGTTGATAGATGGGAGCGTTGGCTGGCATGCTTGGCACGCCCATGTCCTGTGAGTCAAACGTCAACTCTTATAGGTGATTTACAGCAGTTTGTGAGCGAATTGTTAAGTTCGTTATTTCCTGCGGCCTGAAAACAATGTGTGAAAAAATTTCAGCACCCACGCTTTCAAGTAGTTGGAGAATCTGGGCGGTAATTTTGTTCAGTATTCATTAAGGCAATGTTGATGGCTTACTATAAAATAATAAGCAGGCGTCTAAAATCATACTACCGAAGCTAATATCTACACGCCAGATGTCAAGATAGATAAGGAATTTAGAAGAAAGCACACACACACACACACACACACACACACACACACACACACACACACACACACACACACACACACACACACACACACACATATATATATATATATATATATATATATATATATATATATATATATATATATATATATATATATATATATATATATATATATATATATATATATATATATATATATATA